TGCATGTATATGCATATATGTTATGAGCGTGTGAGTGTACATGCTGATGTTAATGCATGTATAAGGCAGAAGTTGTCATTAGGTATGTTCCTCTACATACTTGCAGCTTATTTGTGGAGACATTGTCCCTTGCTGAACCTGGAGCACTCCAATTGTCTGGGAGACTTTGTGACTTTCTTGCTGTCTCTTCTGAGGGGTGGGAGTACAGGCCCATGCCACCACACCAAGCATTTTAACTGAGTGCTATAGATCCAAACGCAGACTTCTTGCTTGATCAGCAAGCATTTTATCTATTGAGCAATCCCCTAAGGCCCTCTCTTCTGGTTTTCTAAATCAATCCTTACACACATAGCTTGGCCATATATATAAAATTTTCTACAATAGGTAAAAGTGAATAAAGCAGAGAAAGAAAGCTCTTGTCCCCAGGGTGTGAGTGAATAAACCTAGTAATATCACCTGAAGAGCTCTATGTTTACCTTGCTTTCAATCATATTTTTTCTGAGCTATTAGGTGCCAGCCTTGCACGGGACCCTGAGAGTCAATTCCATTTACACCTACTGAGCTCATCTTTTGATTTCAGTGCACACCTTACTCTTCAGGGATGGCCATTGTGCTGTAAAGGATAGCGTCACCTTCTCGACAAACCAGTCACATCATTCTAGTATTTGTACATAGTCTATCACTGTGCCACAGATATTTGTGATCATGACTGCTATGAATGCGTGTCTTATAATTGTTCAAGATAATGGACAAAATTATCAAAATGTATGAAGATAAATAGTGTAGATCAATGTTAAACCAGTACTAAAATAACTCATATGAATGTAGCAAATGGGAGGAAAGCACAATGTCATAATGTTTCTTATTATTAACTGTTTTCTAAACAGAACACATCCTATTCTAATCCCCCCCCAATCTCATTTTTTTTCCCTTCATTCTTCAGTTCTACCCTAGGCCTGTCATTATTTGGATTTCCCTTTTACCCAGTCATGGGCCCAGAGTAGATTTGTCTATAACTTGACTCTGTCACCTGATTTGACATTGTCTACCCTCATTCCTAAACACACACATTGAAAGTTCCCTTTTGTACTCTGAGTATCTACATCACCTGTTTAATCTTCATGTCATTTGTAACCGTGGCAGTAATATAAATTCAACTCACCGGAAATTAAATATTGTTTTTCCCAAACCTGCTCTACTCTCAGCCTTGGATATCTCAGAGCCACATGGTTTCATTGTCACTGATAGTCTCATTCTTTTCTTCCTTTTATATTTATAAAAATTCACAAGGTTCAGTCTCAAAACTATTTACTATAGAAAAATCATTAAGTTCCAGAAAGTCGTGGTATAGTGTTCTGCACATTAAAGTTAAGGATACTATGTTAATAATTAACATTTATTATAAAATTGGTAGGATCTAGAAGCATTTTGGAGACAAGATTCAAGGCATACCTACAAGGGAGTTTCTAGATAAGGTCAATTGAGGTGGACATCTACCTCACCAATGGGTGATACTAGCCCATAGGCTGATATCTGGGCTAAACAAAACAGAACACAAGCTGAGCAACAGTGTTCATCTCCTCCTTTGTGAGTATGGATTCAATGTTACGTCACCCTTCTGCCACCTTATTCTCCCTGTCATATTGGATGGGACTCTCAAAATGTGAAGCAACAAAGCATCAAACAGAAATCATCTTGGATCACAGCCATTTGTGCTGCTGAGCAAGCCATAGTGTCTGGGGAAAGGCAAAACTATGAAAACCCAATGTTAGTAATCAATTAGGGAGCAATTGAAAATATACTGACTACAGTTTTTAAAACTGCTTTTTTTAAATTCATGTACCAAAACATATTGAAATTTGAGCTTTGAAAGTTAGCTTCTTAGATTTTACATCTTAAACAGATAAATTAAATATATTTTAGCACTAAAAAATGTGAACAAAATTAATCCTTGCTTTCCTTCAAAGTTGTGGCTGTAATAGCAGCGAAGACAGTAGCTAGCACACCTGTATTTTGCACTTAAGAATGTTCGAAACGGTTCTGTGTTTCGTGCTGTTATTAACAAAAAATTAGAAAGCAAAAAAACCAAAGTGAGAACAAAAACTGTTAAACTATAAAAAGGAAGATGTGAAAAAAATTGAGTTGATAGATATGCTCATTGTTTTACTTGAGGAGAGGATAGTATGATGTACGTATGTATGTATGTATGTATGTATGTATGTATGTATATATCCAAAACCATCAAATCATTTAATCATATGCAATCAGCTGTACATCAGTGAGTATGTACATGTGTTTAGAGGTAGTGGTGGTAAGGAAATCTTAGCAGTTTTTTCTAGTGCTACCCAACTCTAAGTCATCATCATTTTCATTCTGAGTGTTTTCATTTTGTCTCCTGTCTTGGATGCTATTGCCAAATCAGAAGCCAGAAACATCTATTTAAAGTTTAAAACAGACAATGGCTAATTGGTCACTGGCAGCAGCTCCTCAATTAGCAAAGGACAAAGTCCTTTTTGTGGTCATGATTCCAGAGGCCTCTCACTTCTCATCTCTCGCTACTCCATCCTTCTCTCTAAACTCATTGACATACTGACAACCGCAGAACAGCCAGCCTTCCCTCGATCCTCTCAGCAGAAGCTGGAGTCGTCGCTAAGACCCCATCCTGTCTCCTGGGGAGCTCTGGGAGGAGGAAAGCCCTGCAGTGTTGTGTGCAGATGGAAAAGTGTTATTGGACCTTATTTTGGTCTCTTCCCTCAGAAGCCACTCTTTACTCCGGGCCTTTGGGAGGAAGAGTGACAGTCAAGAAGGATCTCAATGCTATGTGGGCTACTCAGCTGAAGGTTACAAACTGTCGATACCCTGTTGTGTGCACAGATGAAGTCTCAGTTCTCGAGGGGGTCTAGGTCATGCAATTTGACACCAAACCTAGCAGACATGATCTCCTGTGTGTCATCCTGTCAGTGCGCATGCTTGAAAGAAAAAAAAGATTGAGGTATAAAGTGAAATTCACTGGGTGAAGATCTTGGTATACAAAAGTGAGGACCTGAGTTTAGACACCAGCCCTCAACTAGAACGATGAATTCAAGAGTGTATAACTAATCACAGTGGGTTTTTTGTTTTTGAAGAACATGTCTTACTTTTTAATTTTTTAATAATGTTTTATTATTTAAAAAATTTCTTTCTTTACATTATTTGTACCCCATATTAACAAGTCTTCCCATGCTTCTCAACTCCCTCTCAACTTCCTGGCCTCTTATTTATTATTATTATACATAACGTACATATAATTAACTATTACACAATTTTGACATTATATGATATGTAATATAATAATATATGATATATGTATGTGTGTTTATAAACACACATATACATATTTAAATGGAACCTCTGAGTTCATTTCTTGTTGTTCATATGTGTATGTGGCTCTGGCTAGCTACTTGGGATTGTCTAACCCATCAAGTAACTTGTAACTGGAGAAACCTGATTCTCTGTCTCTCAGCTTTTTACTTATGGTAAGGTCGTGTGGAGTTCCTCTTCCACATTGGCAGCCAAATGATGTTGTCACTGTTCAGATCTTGTTTAGACAACTATATTGTTGAGATTTCATGGGTGTAGCTTCCCTGTCACATGTAGAAAGTGCATATATAGAAGATACTATCTCAAAATAAATGTCCTCGTCCTCTGGTTCTTTAAATCTTTCTGCCACCTCTTCCACACTGTTTCCAGAACGTTAGGTATAGGGTTGTATTGAAGATGTAAGAACTTGGGCTGACACCTAACTGTTAATATGCTCTCTTTAGTTTGTCTGGTTGTGGGTTTCTGTAACAGTCATTGTCTGCTGCAAAATTAAGCTTCATTCAAAGGACACTGTCAGTAAGACAAAAAGGCTACCTTCCGACTGGGAGAAGATCTTCACCAACCCCTCATCAGACAAAGGTCTGATCTCCAAAATATATAAAGAACTCAAGAAACTAGACATTAAAACTCGAATTAACCCAAATAAAAATGGGGTACTGAACTGAACAGAGAATTCTCAACAGAAGAACTTTGAATGACCAAAAGACACTTAAGGTCGTGCTCAACCTCCTTAGCGATCAGGGAAATGCAAACCAAAACAACTCTGAGATACCATCTTACACCTGTCAGAATAGCTTAACTCAAAAACACCAATGATAGCCTATGCTGGAGAAGATGTGGAGTGAGGGGAACACTCATCCATTGTTGGTGGGAATGCAAACCTGTACAGCCACTGTGGAAATCAGTGTGGCGGTTTCTCAGGAAACTGGGAGTCAACCTCCCTCAAGACCCAGCAGTTCCACTCTTGGGAATATACCCAAGAGATGCCCTATCATACCACAAAAACATTTGTTCAACTATGTTCATAGCAGCACTATTTGTAATAGCCAGAACCTGGAAACAACCTAGGTGCCCCTCAATAGAAGAATGATAAAAGAAGGTGTGGAACATATATACACTAGAGTTTTACTCAGCGATAAAAAACAATGACATCTTGAATTTTGCATGCAAATGGATGGAATAGAAAACTCTTTACTGAGTGAGGTAACCCAGACCCAAAAGGAGGAATATGGTATGTACTCACTCATAAGTGGATTCTAGACATAATTAAAGGTCTTTGAGCCTATAATTCATGATCCTAGAGAAGCTAAATAAGAAGTTGAACCTGAAGAAAATCATATAGTTATCCTCCTGGATATTGGAAGTAGACAAGATTGCCAGGCAAACTTGGGTGCACGAGGGGTGGGGGATGGAAGTAAGGGGAGATGGTTAGAGAGAAGGGAGAAGGGAAAGATGGGGGATAGCTTGGGGGAATGGGAGGAAGGATGGATATGGGAGCAGGGAAGTATACATCCCAACTAAGAGAGCCATTTTAGGATTTGTAAGAGACTTGATTCTAGAGGGGTTCCCAGGTCCAAGGAGAGGTCCCTAGATTGTTCCCTGGGCAGCAGAGGAGAGGGTGCCTGAACTGACCTTGGCCCATAACCATCACAAAGTCTGGCTTTCAGCAAGCTGCCTCAGAACACGGCCTTGTTGTCATTGCTCCAGATACCAGTCCCCGTAGCTGCAACATTAAAGGAGAAGATGACAGCTGGGACTTCGGCACTGGTGCGGGCTTCTACGTGAATGCCACTGAAGACCCCTGGAAAACAAACTACAGAATGTACTCTTACATAACCGAGGAGCTTCCAAAACTCATAAATGCCAATTTCCCAGTGGACCCACAGAGGATGTCTATTTTTGGTCACTCCATGGGAGGCCACGGAGCTCTGATTTGTGCTTTGAAAAATCCTGGAAAATACAAATCTGTGTCAGCATTTGCTCCAATTTGCAACCCAGTGCTCTGTCCTTGGGGCAAAAAAGTTTTTAATGGATATTTGGGACCAGATGAAAGTAAATGGAAGGCATACGATGCGACCTGTCTCGTGAAGTCCTCTTTAGGTTCCCAGATTGACATATTAATTGATCAAGGAAAAGATGACGAGTTTCTTACAAACGGGCAGTTACTCCCTGATAACTTCCTAGCCGCCTGCACAGAAAAGAAAGTCCCCGTTGTTTATAGGCTACAGGAGGGTTATGATCATAGCTACTACTTCATTGCAACCTTCATCACCGACCACATCCGGCATCATGCAAAATACCTGAATGCATCAAAAGCTTCAGGTGGAAGAATCTCATTGGGATTATAAACCTTGGACTACATGGAATTGCTCAGTAAAAGATTTGGGGTTTCCTCTCAAAAGATCATCTTCCTGCAGTTGAATCACTTTTCTGAATAAAGATATCAAACTTTCTGATAAAAAAATAATTAAAGACATTTAGGTTTAATCATAAGACACCCCCGAGGTAGAGTGTGTAGAGGAAAGCAGAAGGGCTGGAGGGCTGGGAAGTGAATCGCTCCCGGAAGTCCTACATCTGTTGTTACGCTCATTCCTGAAAAAGGATTGGTTTAAAACCAATAATGTTTTTAAAATACCTCTGCAGTGAGCTGGAGAGACGACTCAACAGTTAAGAACACTTGCTACTCTTTCAGAAGACCTTAGTTTGGTTCCTAGCACCTATGCCATGATGTCACGAAGCTACCAACAACCTATCACTCTGGAGTCAGAGGATCTGACATCCTCTTCTGGCCTCTGTGAACACGGGTAATCACATGCAAAACTTGCACACCCAGAAACACACACACACACACACAAACACACACTTACATACTTTAAAAAAGTCCCTGGCAGTACCTTACATGGTACAGATGTAGAAAAGAATTGCCTGAAAAGAACTTCATTTGCCCAAAAATTGAGGTCAATAATTGACAAGTGGGACTTATATAACTAATAAGCTCCAAGTGAAGGAAACACCTAGAGGTGAAAGATGACCTTTGCCAGATATAAAACTGACAGAGTATAACTATCCAGAATATATAAAGAATTCCAAAAAGCAAACAAATAAATGACCAATTTAAAATATGTCTTCAGGAGCTAAACTGCAAATTCTCAAAAGAAGAAAAAATGGCTAAGAATTATCTCAAAAAATATTCATCTCTAGCAGTTACTGAAAAGCAAATCAAACAACTTTGAGATTTAATTTTGCCCCTGTCAAAATGGCAAAGATCAATAAAACAATAGACAACAAACCATAGAGGGTACGCAAGGAAAATGAAACCATTATTTTCTGTTGGTGAAATTGTAACCTGGGGAAGCAAGTTTAGAAATTGGTGTGAATTCTCAAAAAGCTAAAAATAAACCTATGATTTGAGCCAGCTATACCAGTCCTTAACATATGCCCAAAAGACTAGACAGTTTACTCCACAAAAACTTACTCATCCATGCTCATTGCTGCTGTTCATAATAGCAAGGAAATGGAAACAACCTAAATGTTCTTCGACTAAGGAATTGTTAATGAAAATGTAACACATATATACTAGAGAATACTATTCAGCTGCAAATAAAAGTAAAATCTTGAAATTTGTAGATATGCTGGATGATAGTGGTGAATAACTTTAATCCTAGGACTTGGGATGCAGAGGCCTGCAGATGCCTGAATTTGAGGCCAGTCAGCCTGGTCTACAGAATGAGTTTGAGAGGTCTGCTTGCCTCACCTTCTCGCCATGTCTTCTCACAAGACTTTCAGAATCAAGCGATTCTTGGCCACGAAACAAAAGCAAAATCTTCCTATTTCTCAGTGGATTTGGATGAAAACTGGCAACAAAATCAGGTACAACTCCAAGAGAAAACACTGGAGGAGAACGAAGCTGGATCTGTAAGGAGTCAACAATGGCAAGACAGTTTACGCTGAATCGTGGTCCTGGATGAGTGTTATAAGATGGAGTTCAACATTTTCAACCTGATCATGTTTAAGTTGGGAGTGGTTTCTCCAGTAATAAAACGTAGAGCCTTTAAATAAAATGAGCTTGAGAGAACTCTACCTAAAAAAAAAAAAATCTATTTAAAAAAAAGAAGAAGAAATTTGTAGATACATGTAAGGAACTCTAAAAGATCATAGCGATTGAGGTAACTCAGACCAATAAATACAAGCCTCACATATTGTCTCTAACTTAGTACTCCTAGATTTGAATTATTGATGTGAATATATATCCTTCAGTAACTGTGGAATATAGGAAAGTAAAACCAAACCATTCTTTGGGGTCAGGATAGCAATAGAGAAGAGAATAACTAGATACAAATGATCCAAAGAAGGATACGGAAAAACAAGTAGGAGATTTAATTAGGGAAGGGGAGTTAAATAAATACATGGTGACACATGCCTTTAATCCCAGCACTTGGGAGGCAGAGGCAGGCAGAGATCTTTTGTGAGTTTGAAGCCAACCTGGTCTATGAGAGCTAGTTCCAGAATAGGCTCCAAAGTTACAGAGAAGCCCTGTCTTGAAAAAACAAACAAACAAACCCTTAAAAATGAAAAAAAAACATAAAAATAAAATAATAATGAATCATAGTATTACCTATCTTTATAAAATAACTATAATACTCATAAGCTGGTGTATAAATGTACATGTGTAGTTAAACAAAAATTTCTCATTTGAATTGCCAATGCTTCCTCCAAGAGCCAAAGACCATTAAAACAAAAACTTCACACTAGGCACCAGAAACGCTTTTCTGAGTTGTTAGTCAAGGTTGGTAAAGAGACCCCAGAACACTGTATGCTATTACTATTGCCCTAGGTTGCCCCAGAGGTTGAAAGTAAGTCCCTAATCCTGAAGACATCATGCTCTTCAAAAAAAGAACCCAGAGATCCTTGAGCAAGAAATAACCTGTGTAGTGGTGGGAGTGGCGGGCTGCAGTGGCCCAGCTTCCAGCTAGATTTATCCAAAATAATTACACGGAAACTGTACTCTTTTAAACACTACCTCGCTCATTACCTCCAGTCTCTTATTAGCTAACTCTCACATATTAATTAACCCATTTCTAATAATCTGTATATCACCACGAGGTTGTGGCTTACCGGGAAGATTCTAACCCATCTCCATCTCTGCCTGCCTCTGCTTTCTTTTTCCAACAATTCTGTTCTGTCTACTCCACCCACCTAAGGGCTGGCCTATCAAAAAGGCCAAGGCAGTCTCTTTATTAACCAATGAAAGTAACACATAGACAGAAGACCCTTCTCCATCAAACCTGAAAGCCTCTTCTTTGAGGAGTATTTTTTTCATGGTACCAGAAGGTGCCATACACACTTGGGAAGAACAGAAGCAATCAACAATTTTGCCTATGAACCACCACCACAACAACATGGCATGATAACCCTAAGGGTGCAATAGAGGTATGCATAATAACATGGTAAACAATTGCTCTTTCACTGGACTCAAGAAAGACCCACTCACCAAGGGGAAAACCATCACTGGCACCTGAAAGCTATCCAGCTACACAATTGGCTGTCCGGGTGGTGAAGTCTTGGATCCCAGAGCACAGACTACAACAGCACTTTGCTAAACTAAAATAATCCCTAACTACATTGCAAATATTTATTTTTATACTCGTGGATAAGTATATTCCTCACACCTAATCAGGAAACATCTCTCTGTAACAGACTACTATAGAAAAACCACAGTCCATCAAAATTCAGAGACATGGAGCCCAGCCCCAACGGATATATCTACAGTTCAACTTCCATACCTAAGGATCAGTGATTATTGCCAAAGAGGGAGCAGAAAAGCTTCAAGAGTCAGAGGGAAATGGCAGTTGCTATAAGATTGTGTCTCCTTGGAATTACAGAAGATACAGTATATAAAGTTTTACCAAAGTGACTTCCTGAACATGAACTGAACAAGAAGAAAAACAATAGACATGTTAACATTAATGGATGAAACTCATGATCTTCAATTCTACACACACACACACACACACACACACACCAAACAAACAAACAAACAAACAAAAACCCCAAAAACCCTACAGACAATTAAGGGATGCTGAGAATGGGAGAAATAGTCTTCTTCAGAGCAGAGCACATCAATTGGTTATACAATACCAAATGGTCAGTCCCGAAGACATACATACCAGTAACATAGTATTGATGAATAATTTTTGTATTAATGCATTTAGGAACATATGTGTGTGTGTTTAGCACAAAATGAAAATAGGGCCATTAATTTGTAAAAGAACATGGAAGAGTATACAGAAAGATTTGAAAATAGAAGTGAAAATGATGCAATTATATTATAATCTCAAAAAATAATAAAAAGAATAAAGAAAAATGTCTTGGCAGATGGTAAGTCAATAATAAGTGAAACCAGTGGATTACAAAGGCTTGGTGTGCCTCTGGCTACATGATCCTAAGTGGTCAAGTCAGGGTTCTTGAGCAATGGAAACAGTGTTGAGGAAAGAAAAAGAGGAAGCCATTTCCTATTGTGAGGAAGCTACTTGTTGGTTCTGGGCCGCCCAGTTAACTTAGACGCAAAACAATCACACAGAAACTATATTAATTAAGTCACAGCTTGGCCCATTAGCTCTAGCTTCTTATTGGCTAACTCTTACATATTAATTTAACCCACTTCTATTAATCTGTGTATTGCCATGTGGCTGTGACTAACAGGGTAAAGTTCCCAGTTACTGTCTCTGGTGACTCCATGGCTTCTCTCTGACTCTGCCCATCTTTCTCCCAGCATTCAGTCCAGTCCTCCCTGCCTAGCTCTGCTCCACCCTGCCCTGCTCTGCTACAGGCTCAAAGCAATTCTTTTATTCAAGAGGGAAATCCCACATCAATTTCCATCTATCTAGCTTGGTCAGAAAAGTCAGGGGCTTCTAACGGGAGGCTCTTTAAACATCATTTGTTCTCATAATCAAAAGCCTTGGAACTTCTGTGTCCAGTAGACAGACATCAAATGAGGAGACTAAATCTAATTGCAAAAGTTAGTTTAATGGTTCTAATAGAATCATCTAATCTCATTGTTCTTAATCACGACTACACATTGGATTAAACAAGGCTACTTTTAAAAAATATGCATCTGTGATTCAGGGAGAAGTGAGCCTCCCTCCCAACCAGTCTAACTGAAGTGAGATATGAGTTCTGACAAATTAAAAAACAGCTTCTCAACTAAATCAAAGCTAGAACTAAAACCCAATTCTTCGATTTTGCTATTTTTTGAAATTTAGTTTGAAACTTGTCAAGTTGTTACTTTTTTGTATGCTTGTATGTTTTTGTGTGTGGTGTGTGTGTGTGTGTGTGTGTGTTCAAGAATGCATCTGTAAGCATAGGTATTTGTGCACATGTGTGTGATACATTTAGATATACCAGATATTTTGAAGTTTAACCTTGCTTAACACTGCAACAATATCTCAAGAAC